TATATACAATTTCTATATACAACTAAGTTATTTTTATAAAATTAACAGAACAACTTGCAATACCAAGGATAAACATATTCGCTTGAATTTAATCCCAGATAACTCACTATCAGTTAACGATGTAAATCCATCCTATAAACTATCTCATATTAGCTATTAACTTTGGAATAAGCCGTCTTAAATATCTGTGGAAGTGTAAATTAAGTAAACGAACAAATGAGTATATAATGAAAACAAATTAAATGTGCAATTTTTTAAAGAACATGAAGGTTAAATGGAACTTTTTACTTTAGTTGGCATTATACGTCAAATTGAAACTGTCTGGAACCTATTTGTAATCTGTGGTCAGGTCATAGAAGCTTTTGTATTTGCCTGAAGTAGTTTATTTTGGTTTCGACTTTGAAAGAAGAAAATAAATAACAGAAACAATATCGTTCATGATAATGACCGATAGAAAAAGAAGTCCTAACTGGCAAATGCCAGAGAAGATGTTACTGGTAGATCTGATACTGTCCATTTTAAGATACCGTAGACAAAACAAACGTACCGACGCAGTAACCATGAAAGAAAAAATGCTGAGTGGATTAAAATATCCAATGAATTCAATTCGCATAACCAGTTTTCGCCACAGAACCGCGGAAAATTAAAAAGGTCACATTGGGAAAGCTTAAAAAATTCAGCCAAAAAGAATCTGCTTCTGCAAGACAGTACATGGATTCAAACAGGTAAAATCATTTTATCATTTTACATGCTTATTTTTATGTCGTAGTTGTCGAAATGATCATTTTCTTTCAATTTAATCCATCTTGGACGCCTTTCAGCATAGTTTCTTTGCGGTGTCATCATCACTTGTCACTTTCGTAAATAACAATTCTTTTAAACGTTGCATTATCTATAGTTGTGATAATTAGATGCATGGAAAGAAGACAGGAACAACTCTGAGGGAACAACCACAACAAACTCCGGATCAAACAAAATGTCTGTGTTCTATGAATCCTGACAGCTGACATGACATGCGGCCATTTTTAACCAAGGAATATGCCGTTTGTTCAAAATTGGGGTATAAATCTTATCCTTGGAATAACGTTTTATTCTCAGGTTAAGTAGTTGGTGAAATGCTAAGGAATTTGCTTTCCAGGGTTAATTCGCTTGGAATCAAAACTTATCTAAGTTTGGTGAAATTAGCCCAAGTTATTTTTATAAAATTAACAGAACAACTTGAATATCCATTAATATTTTCAAAGTCCATTTTGAAATCAGACATCAGTTAGTGATAAAATCCATGCTTATAAAATCTATCGATTTATTTAAATTTTTAATAAATCGCTAGAAATACCTGTTAATCTTATTAACTAATCTCAGAGATATAAAGATACTGAGTTGAATTATATATTAAGTACATAGGGAAGATCGTTACCCTTCAAGTTTGCTGGGGCACATTCATACAGTCAAAATAAAACTTGAACGAAACTCTCTTTAAAGTACAGTCTTGCTTTTGTATTTGTGCAAGGGTCGAGGTACCAACGTTTACATCAACAAAGTTTCGGGGCGACATTTGCGCCAATGACAGTGAAGTTACAGGCATGGACGTGTTTTGACCGCTCGGTACAGTAATTGTTAGATCAATGTTTTTGTCTCTTGTTACGGTAGAAAAATTGGTGAAGTTTTCGTGTAGAGTTTTCTATCAGTAACTTAGCAATGAATATCCTTAAGATACGTCTCCAACTTACTTACTTTAAAAGACGTTTTCACCATTAATATTAATATATAATATATCAGAAGTTATATCTTGTCGATTTTCAGTTAGTGGGTACTTCGGACAGCACTAGATGGGGAACATTTGAACAAATGTATAACAAATTTGTATGAAAATTGTCGACACAATCATTTCATCAAATAAGCCCTGACTTTCTACATACACTACTGTTAAGGCATCTTGACTAAACCCTCTGGTAGGTAGGTACGATTGTGTTAGTGTGCTAATTGCTAATTTTTGTATTAACTTTCTGTGTTGCTATTTTTGCTATCGTCGATGTAAATATATATTAATACCTATTTCTTATTATCTTTATTAAGGTTGATTGTGATGCTTGCGAACCAGATGCTTTGAATAATTTACCAATCCATCAAATAGTAGTTCCTTCGAAGTCAGTTTTGACACCAGAGGCATTTCGACCCTATCTGCATGTTGTAAGAAGTAATAAAACAAACAAAATGACGACGACGGCCAGGAAAACCACGAATTTATACTGCCACACCCGAAAATAAGAAGTGCTAATCCGCACCAAAGATTAAGAAATGTGATTCTAAATTTAAGATACCTAACTAATTAAATTTTGTTTTACATAAGAAAAGCTATGTAATTTTTGTTCACTATAAGAAAAATATTTTATTTTTGTTTAATACAAATTAAATCTTTATTTTTCTGTTTAATTTCATTGCTAATAAATGAATTTTGATTTATGTGTGTCGTTTTAATCGTACGGAACTACCCCACAGCGTATGAAGGTACCCCTAACACTGTACGAAGGTGCCCCGTTGATGGGGCAGATTCGTACGTTTTCCAGATTTAGTTTAAATCATAATTACGGTTGAACCATCATATGAAATCATTTGTCATTTTTATATGAATCTCAGATAGTTAGACTATAAATTTAAGCTATCAGGTTTCATGGAAAAATAAAAAAAAAAATGTGTAAACCGTACGAAGGGTCCCCACCTTCCCCTATATATCTGTGGCCATAGGTATATGATAAATGCATTCACGTATAAATAGAAACTAATAAATGCTGTTAAACATTAATATAGAATCAGACATATGATAAAACTCAATTCAAAAAATACGAGAGAAATATCATCTACAGGGATGCGGTTTTTCCCCAATACCAATTTTGGGAATCACCACAATTTAACCTTCATCCTATTTAGTTTGCTAAATATTCAAACATAATGATAGATTTATGTGTAATATTAAATTCAAATAACATTTTGAAATGCGTTTGTCCAGAATTATTTTTTCCTTTAAAAGTAACTAATAAAAAATTATATCACGGCGCGCACGCTTTAATGTTAGAATCATTCAAATCGTTATTTTATTATTTCCAGCCGATTAACAAACATTTATTGTTGAACATTCTTTATTTATATTTGATCCGATTAAAAGTTCGCTCGGCGTAACAAACAGCTATCGGCCTGTTAAATATATTGGTGCCCAGGTATTTACAAATGGGAGCTGTTCGCGTACGTGACCTAGAAAAATTAACTCAACGTTCGAATCTGGCTGAGGCGTATATTAGACGGGATTTGGGTCAGCGTCATTATCAACAACAAATCAAACGTTAATATGCCTATTTTTCCTACCCCGGCTTTTTGATGATTAGTTTCGCTTTATATTTGCTAGAAATAGGTCAAAGATTTAAGATATAATTTAGTATTATTTGGGGCAATGGATTATGTACTTTAGACGGATAATATCGATTTATTTCAGTCTAAAGTAGAAAAGGTAAATATATAAAGGTATATATTTTCTTTATAGTTATAATAGTAGATTATAAAGAAATCATATCACATATGTGTTAGTTGTAATTTGGATTAAAATATATGTATAAAAATAAAAGCAATTATTACTAAATAATACCAAAATGTTTGCTGTTTAAAATTTAAAAATTGTAGCATGTTAGAAAATACCGAACATTATCAAACTCTAAACAGTTTTAAATGTCAAAGGAAATGTACACTTTGTTTCGGGGCATAAATAAAAATAGTCTGTGAGTCAATTCAGTTTGCTGCAAACAATAAATGTGTTCGAAGGAACTGTAGGTTTCGTGAGTTAAATGTGCTATAAAATTAGTTTTCCTATTAGAACGGGAACAAACGGCACAAATTACAAAAGATTTTTCTCTTTGACCTGATAACATCGTTTTTGTTCTAGTAGTCTTTGATAAAGTACGTGACAGTTTTATTTATTTCACATCAAAAAATTTATACAATTTACATGGTTTTTGATAAACAGAACTTATCTCAAAACAATGATAGGGACAATTATGGGCCATTGTCTCCTTAATAAACATCTTTTTGTCCTAGGCGCGACAGATAGCCCCATGTGCAGAGGCTGTTTTAGCGCAGAGGAATCCGTTACCCACGTAGTGTTGGAATGCGAGGCTGTGGCTTAACAACGTACAGAAATCCTCGGAACAGTGAGGTCGATCCGTGAAGCCTGCGTAGTGCCCAGGAATCTTCTGTGCTTTTGGAAGGAGTTAGGCTGGCTTAGTTAGCCAGGACTTACGCACAACGGACCTATTGAGAGTCTAAGTGCGGAAACTGAGTCAGAAGTGAAACTTCTTTGGCAAACTTATTTTAACTCTTGTTCATATTTATACAAATCTAAAACTTTAGCTTTCCGAGACTTAGAGGGAGGGAAAAAGGAAGATATGTTAGGAATTTAAATGTTATTAAAATATTAAAAGTGTCAAAAATTAATACAAATAATAAATTTATTTCAATTCATATAATAGATAATTTAGAATTCTTCATTTGAGATGTCAATAAATTATTTTGCATAAAGTTTAAAATACTAATATTTCATAAATTCTCGTTACGAAAATATAATTTTACAAATAGAATTTCTATAAGGTAATTCATCCTTCTCACTCTCACTCAATCGGTCTCAATCGCTCTCTCCCTTTTCTTCGACAAAAAGGCTGCAAATCTTTAAGACGTTTTTTAAAAATTATACCCTCGCTTAAAGAAGTTTCATTTCAAAAAAATTACATAATTATAATCTATTATTGTTCCTAAACTTTTACGTTAAGCTATAACATTTTCTGATACCGTGAAAACTGTAAGAAAATGTCGGGACATTATTGTAATAACACCATTTTGAGCTACTTTGACGGGAGCGGTCGTGTGTAACCTCTCATTTTCCTAACCGAAATTCAAAGCAGCCTTAACAAAGCTTTGTTTTGCATCGCTCGCTCACAAGCGACTGAAAGGCAGCCTTTTTAGATAAGACTCCTTATATATTCTGAGGCAAACGCTGTGCTTAAGTTTTTGGGGAAAAGGAACATCTGCTGCAATTCCCATTGTTTCCGGAACTTGTGAAAGATATAATTAATGTAGCCTAATAAGGGAAAAACGATTAAATTCATTTAGTTTTAGTTATTATTATTGTTTTATTTTTTATCTTTTTGGTAGATATGTTTATAACCCGACAATATTTTCTGGAGAATGTTTGAGTCAAACTGTCATGCTTACTGTAAGACACGCATTATATATTATATACATTATATACCGGGATACATTTAATAACTAACATACATAAACATACATAAATGATAACATGATACGTACTACCCTTATGGCAGTGTGAGTGTCAATGGGCGACAGTTTCACTTAATGATGTCTGTCATATAAAAAACCACCTTAAAATACATACCTATAACTGAGAGACGAATTTGAAAATTGCGCGTTGGTGAATTCTTGAAGTCAACCCGACATCTATACACTCCTTCATCATCCAACTGAACTGTATCAAGTGTGAGCGACGCAGGGCGAGCGACGGTCGCGAAGTAGGCTCGCGGCCCAAACACATTAGGGTCGGACCATTGAAGGGCCTTATTAAACGACCGCCCACGGACATCGAAGCTGAAACAAAAGTATCTATAAGTACACAGAATAAGAAAATTACTGTTAGTAAAAATACTTTAATATTTGTGTTTTATTGATCTTTTATAGACTTTCAAATTAGATTACAATCTTATTAAGTTTCTAATTATGCTGCTGGTGACTTTCCATTTAACCTTTTTCTTAATTATAGGAAAAATATTACGAAAGTTGACGGCCAATATATGTACCTTATTTCTTTAAATAGAATTTCTATATGCTTGCTGATTAATGCCCTCAGATTTCTGTATCTGTTTATATGATCATTTGTTAATCAAATGGGAAAGTAGGTGATCAGTCTCCTGTGCCTGAAACGCCGTCGACATTTTCGGTCTAAGGCAAGCCGGTTTCCTCACGATGTTTTCCTTCACCGTTCGAGCAAATGTTAAATGCGCACATAAAAAGAAAGCTCATTGTCCAAAGTACATAGTCTGGGATCGAACCTACGACCTCAGGGATGAAAGTCACACGCTGAAGCCACTAGGTCAACACTGCTTTATAATTATCATATACTACTGTATTATATACTGCATATATGTCTTAAAAGGACACTACATAAATTATGTAGTAAGTCCCCATTAAAACTGTTTAAGAAGTTTTTTTCGTATTATATTACACCCATAAATATCAAAGACAACGTTACGTTCTTAAGTGTCTATACGTGAGCGCAAAATAATTTCCTAAATTACACCACATTTAGACAGTAAGTCACGCAATTATAAAATTCCACTCGTAAAGCCCACAAACAATTTATGTCTCATTTCACCGCGCGCGCTGTGGTTACAGTAATGTGTAGAGTTACCTTGTAAGGTAACTTTATTCTATGGATTAAACCTTAGACCACATTATGTTGCGGCAAACCGTACACGACTCCCCAAGGACGGTTTAACCGTTAGAGGAGGCGGAAACACTTCCACGTCTAATTTAAGCTACGCTCACACTATTTGCTCTGAAACCACTTATAATCGTTTTATATTTACAAAAATGTTTACTAAAAGCATTATATGCACAAACGTAACTCGGGTTTGTTTGGGCTTTCATTTAACGCGTTTGAGAGAACACTGTGTGTATCTTGCAAATATATTTTTCTCCTGATAAATTGTGGTCAATGTATTAAAAACATTAATTTTACTACCTAGTACTGAATGGTCTCAATTACATTTAATACAAGTTTAAACTTAAATAATCATCAAAAATAATAAATATATATTGTACCGTCTAGATAATCTCCCGTTTTTATGTAATAGGAGGCAAACGGGCAGAAGGCTCACCTATCGTTAAGTGATACCAGCGTCCATGGATACTCACATTGCCGGAAGGCTCGCAAGTATGATGCCGGCCTTTTAAAGATTTAAAAAAACTTGAAGCTCCCTAAGAGAGACCCCACATCTCTACGCAACGTCAAGGGATTCAGCCGCATTGAAAGGGACTAGTCGTTGACGACGAATCGCTCTTCGTTGTATACGGTCAAGCGGAAGGAGCTGGTACTGCGGAGCTTCCATACAGAGGTGAAACCAGTACTTCTTGTGGGGCCGAATTTGGGCTTTATAGAGTTGTGTGTGTAGCTATACTTTATTAAGATATAAATAAAAACGCACACAACTCTAAATTGATGAATTGTACCTGTGCTTAAAATTCGTTATTCCAAATTCGACCTAACCAAACTTAACGTCTATACACGTCAAAAACAAAGTTAACGGATCAATTCACGATACAGTTACTATAGCTGTCAATAACAGGCCTGTCGGGAGGGTGTAGATATTTAAAAGCCGCGGAGTTGGCAGTTACCCTAATAATGGGGGCAAACGACGTGCAGTGATTAATGGTCCAAACGAAATAGAGGATTCTACGTTTCTACGTTTACTAATTTTCTATGTATACTGGACTTCTTTGGGCAAATGTTTACTCAATAAACTAATAGCTATTGTATTTACTTTCTTTTGATAAAACTAATTTATTATATTATTTACATAGCTCGACGTTTCCAGATCTTTTCAACAGTTTTGTGTTTATAAAAATATAATAACCAATAATGTTTTCAATAGTTATTCATTAAAATGAATGAATGATTTTACTTTTCATGAAAAAGAGGCCACTAGTTTCAGCGGAACTGAAAACTGCCGCTTTCCACGCACAGTGTATGCGATATTACGCAAGTGGAATTCTGCCTTTATTCAGGGTTTTCTGTCATAGAGACCATTATTTATCTGTTACTTAAGTTTTTATATTATAAAACAAATATAAAAATAAAGATAAAATAAAGCTTTGGCCTAGCTATTCAAAGGGGAAACGCTTCTAGTATCTTCGGAACCTTGCCTAAAGGGACTGAGTTTAATAATATATTTTAGTTATCATACTTTAAGTTTAGTTTGTTTTTTTTGTTATTAATTAATTAGTTTATTTTTTAAATATTCATAATTATGACATAATATAGACGAATGTACTAAAACCAATAGGCTACATTTAAGAAAACTGTAGTTACTATATGTTAACTATATGATTAGCTTTAGGCTAAATTACGGGAGTATGATCTCTATCAAAGTAACAAAAGATTTTAAAACATAAAAATTTCCCCTTTTATATATAAAATCTACTTTTTACTTAAAGACCATAGTTTCTAGACTAACAAGCGAGCTATAAAAGTATGACCCGTAGAATTTACGACCACATTTCGTAGTACAGACGTTATCAGTTCTCGTTTTACGATATTCGTGATTCAAAAAGCATAGTATGAACGCTTAATTTTAGTTAAACTGTATTGAACTATATTTTTGAGCGCATGAGAGATAAAATTTTTACGGATGAAACGCAAATATAATAATATTAGCGTCACGAAGATGCAGTGTTTTTGTCTAGGAAAGGGAGAGAGCGATTGAACCTATTTGAGAGAGATTGAGAAAGGGCGAACGTAGCATGAAGCAAATAGCCATGGAGGGACAGGAGAAAGATCGAGAGAGAGAGAGTGAGATAGAGCGAACCACAAAAATATATAACTCGCACTCACAGATAGGTGCCGAAATAAGAATCATTCTTAATTCGGCTTAATCTCATGGCTAGACGAGCCGGACGAGTCTAAGTGCAAACTATCATGTGTCATATGATTAACTGGGATGTAATAACTTTTGTTAAACACTCAAAACAACTACAAACTATTGCACCAATTACGCTACTAATTAAAATGTTCACATGATAATTAAAATTTGCCGAGCTCAGGTTGGCTCACGTAAGTAGGGCGAATTAAAATCGTTGAGTAAACCAAACTTCGGCATAATTCTCGTATTTTGCGAACTGGAACACGCTGTATATCATTATCTGAACATGTTATATAACAACATTGAATTATTAAGTGAGCCTATAATTGAACTGAGCTATTAATGTTTTTGGAATGCTTTTAATCAGTATAAAGTATGCGTGTACTTTATACTTACTACTAAAGGTAAAGGTTAGGTATTTCACAAACAATTTATAATATTTTTTTATTAGAAAACGATGTTCATGGTTTGAATTGTATAAGAATGGTAATAATGCGGATTTGAATATAATGTTTGTAATTGAGATGTGGAGTCTCTCTGCATCTTCTACCGCATTTACCATAGAGAGTGTTCAGAGGAGTTCCGACTAATAGCTGCATCTGAGTTGCATTATCGGACGTCAAGGCAGAATACAAAATACCACCCGTATAACTTGTACGTCCGTAGTGCCACAACTGAGCGTTTCTTAAGGAAGTTTTTGCCGCACACCACCAATATGTGTAACCAGCTGCCCACTGAAGTATTTTCAAACCAATTCGACTTAGGGCCCTTCAAGAAAGCCTTCTTTAAACACCCTTAGTCGAATTGGTTCGGAAATACTTCAGTTTCATTTCACAATTCATATATTTTATAAAAAATTGCGATTCATGACTAAACACAGCATATCACCAAATCTAACTAAGAAGTTTGTATTATTTTAAACAATGCTCAACAAAGCGACGATATTTTATCATTTTTTATTATTGGCTCACAAGTCAGTGTTCTTCATTGATATTCTCCATTGTCCATTGAAAGTAGGCAAAGCTATACAAAAACCGGTAAAAGCGTATTTAATATGTATGTCTCGGTTAAATAAAAGTCTCTGTGTTCCGTATTACGTTGCGTGTTATATATGTATATGTATATATGTATATTGTATATATATAATGTATGTCAATGAACACGATGCAAATCCTATAATTAAAATACGCCTGCGTCCAGTGTCTCGCTACAGCTGCATAAATAAGTGTACTGAATATTCAAAGGCGGATATTAAGGTAACATCTTTTTAAATTTCTCTGTTTCTTGTATGTATAGTAATGTTAACTGGTTAGAGTACCACAAGTACAAGTTATAAAATACATATATTTGAATTTTTTTCTAAATTAAAATTTTATGTACGCAAGCAGCTTGGGTTGCTACCTATTCGACTCAGACCTGACACTCATCTCCTTCAACTTCTATCCTGAATTTTTTTCAATCCCAAAACCCCTCTTATCTTAAAAATCAGGAGGATCGTATTAAAGAACTAAAATTCTCACGAATGCTGTCAATTTGTGCAGCGTTTTCCAAGAATCACACGTGGCCAGGATACTTCATTTTATAATATGTGGAGTGTTTATAGTATAGTATATGGAGTTCCTAAAATCAAATGTATCAGAGTGCCGAGTGTATCAAAAACTTCTTTTTACGGTTTCCTTGAAGTCGGCTTCGATCTTCCTGAAGAAAATCAAACTAAACGGCGACCACGTGTAAAGTTATGTCCATCGTAAATCGTGTCGTACAATACCGTTATGGTTATATATATTATATACTAAACCAATAGTATATATAATACAATTCATAAATATTATAGTTGAATAATTATTAAGTTCAATTTCTTACCAGTGTTATACTTTGTATGCAAATCGCTTCAAGCACTGTTTTGGTGCCAAATATTCAGCTCTCAAGCTATCGAATGTTCACTGCTCA